CGCGCCGTGGGGGGGTTGGAGCCAGAGGAAGGATTTCATACTGGTCACAGGAGGATTTAAACCTTTCACTGTGGCGCCACGGTTATGGCGCATGAATTTCTCCCCCTCTGTGGGGCCGGGCTGGTGTCCCCCCTCCATGGGATTGCTCCCCAGGGGTGCTCCTGGAAGGAGCCCTCGATTCAGCTTTTGGGGATGGAGACGTCTCCTCCCATCTCCCCACACCGCTGCAGAGCCGGAGGGATCTGGGTGAGCTTGATGTAGTCTCTCCATCCCCTGGAAAATCAGGTGCTTGTTCTGGCTGTCTCCACTGCCGCGTTGTCCTCGGCCGCGGGGATCAGCTCTGCCGCACTCGCGCACGGTCCCCGCTCCCTAAATAGCAACGGGTTTTCCCCAAGGGAGCTGCCGGGGTTCTGGGAAAGATGGAGGGAAGGTCCCGGCGTCCCTCTGTTTCCCCCACCCCGCACCGGCTGAGCCTTGTCTGCTTTTAGGCAACCTGAAACGGCACCTCCGCATCCACAGCGGGGAAAAACCCTACGTCTGCGTCCACTGCCAGCGCCAATTCGCCGATCCCGGGGCGCTGCAGCGACACGTCCGCATCCACACCGGTAGGGACGCAGCTCTGCCATCCCTCCCCCTTTTCCCCACAGGATTTTGAAGGGGGGGGATGACACACCCCTCGTTCTCCTCACCCCCGCATTGTTGATCCCCACAGGTGGTTTGTTTTTTTTTTTCCCAGGAGAGAAGCCGTGCCAGTGCTTGATCTGCGGGAAAGCCTTCACCCAAGCGAGTTCCCTCATCGCCCACGTGCGCCAGCACACGGGGGAGAAACCCTACGTCTGCGAACGCTGCGGGAAGAGGTGAGGGTCCACGCAGTGAATTTTTTTGGGGGGGGGATGGACACCTCCACACACCCTCCACCTCGCGGGGCCGGGGCCGGCCCCCAAGTTGTCATCGCTGGGGACAGGGATGGCAGTGACCACCGCGTCCCCCCTCCCCAGGTTCGTGCAATCGAGCCAACTGGCCAACCACATCCGCCACCACGATAACATCCGCCCCCACAAATGCACCGTCTGCAACAAAGCCTTCGTCAACGTGGGCGATCTCTCCAAACACATCATTATCCACACCGGTGGGTACCCGTGTCACCACCCCTGGTGGCTCTTCCTCCCTTCCAAATCTTCAACCCTCCCCAAATCCCTCGTTTCGTCCCCAGGGGAGAAGCCGTTCCTGTGCGACAAGTGCGGCCGCGGCTTCAACCGGGTGGACAACCTGCGTTCTCACGTCAAGACTGTGCACCAAGGCAAGGCGGGCATCAAAATCCTCGAGCCGGAGGAAGGCGATGAGGTCAACATTGTCACGGTGGCTTCCGATGACATGGTGACGTTGGCCACCGAAGCGCTGGCTGCCACCGCTGTCACGCAGCTCACGGGTGAGCTGGGGGGGAATCGCTGTCCCAAAAGGGATGTTTATCCACGGGGTGAAGCTCGGGGGTCCCGGAGCATCCCCAAAGGGATGTTTATCCACGGGGTGCAGCTCGGGGGTCCCAGAACTGTCTGAAAAAGGAGATTTATCCATGAGGCGCAGCTTTGGGGTCCCAAGAGCCGTCCCCAAAGGGATGTTTATCCACGGGGTGCACCTTGGAGGTCCCGGAGCCATCCTCAAAGGGACATTTATCCATGGGGTGCAGCTTGGAGGTCCCAGAGCCATCCCCAAAGGGATGTTTATCCATGGAGTGAAGCTTAGGGATCCCGGAGCCATCCCCAAAGGGACATGGAGGCTTATCCATGGGGTGCAGCACTCTTTGCCGTGGCCTGGGAGCTGTCCCAGCGTGGCTGGAGCCCCCTCCTAAACACCGTGACGGACAAAATCCAGCATTCCCCCTCCAGCCGGGATCGCCCCCCATCTCCTCGCTCACCCCCTCACCGTCGCCTCCCCCCTCCTCTCTCCCCCCGCAGTGGTCCCCGTAGCGGCCGCGGTGACGGCCGACGAGAACGCAGCACTTAAAGCTGA